TCGTGACACTCGAAATATTCACGTCTGACTGGATGTTTCAGTGAAAAGTCGCAATTAAAATTACTTTAAATATACAGAGTGGGACACGTAAACGGGTACACTTACGTATCACCGCTATTTACAGATATACAGGACAAAGTTAAAATTTTCGAAAAAATGAAGAGGAAGATTTCTTCGATATTATTTTTCTTTTTTATATTTTAAGGTTATTAATGTTTTTCCAACTGATATGGTATATTTTTTTCTATATTAAAATGAAAGAATTTTTTAGAATTCTCATCAAATTGAAAGGTTGTAAAAATTTCGTCATACATTTATATTAAATAATTCATCTTCTTCACCGAAAAATTTCTTCAACAAAATCCAAATTCTTCTCGGAGGAATTTCTAACCTAACCTACAAATACGAAAAGTCCAAAAAATTCGACTTTACATCGAATGCTTCGTCTTCTCTATCCGAGGACTTCCTCGACAAAATATGAATTCCTCTTTGTAGAATTTCCAACCTAACCTAAAAATATTACCTTCCATCGACCCAAATAATAAAAATTCTTAAAAATTTACTTTAAATAGACAAATCCACAAAACATCAACACAAATTTATATTCAACGCTTCTCTTTGTAGAATTTCTAACCTAACCTAAAAATACGTACCTTCCATCGACCCAAATAATAAAAATTCTTAAAAATTTACTTTAAATGGAAAAATCCATAAAATTTCTACACAAATTTATATTGAATACTTCGTCTTCTCTATCCGAGGATTCCCCCGACAAAATATGAATTCCTTTCTAAGGAATTTCTAACGTAACCTGAAAATACGTAACAAATTTATTTTGAATGCTTCATCTTCTCTATCGAAGAACTTCCTCGGCAAGGAACTTCCAGAATCAACAATCTGAGTCAACGAATTCCTCTCTGAGGAAGAAAATAGCAAGAGGTTTGTGGGTCGAGGTCCACAAAAATGCGAAAATCCGATAGTATATCGGAAGCTGCTCGTAAAACGGAAACGTTAGAGGCGTTTCACTCGCAAATGCATGAATTTCACGGAACAACGGCGAAGAAGAGAGCAAAAAGAAGAAAAAAACAAAAAATAGCCACTGATTTCTGTGTCGAGAAAGCGCAAAAATGGCGAAACGATCGACTCCCCCTTGACTGTAAAACTGCTTCAGAATCGATGATTTATCGAGCATGAACGACGCTACGCTCCTTCTGTCTCTTTCAATCCGCGTGTCCTTAATCGACGAGACGAATTTACTATGGCGAGACGACGAAAATTCGTCCGTTGGAACAATAGGAAGCTCTTCTTTCCGTGTAATCGCGCTTCAACCTCGAGCAATTTGCGATTAGAAACGCGACTGTGAAACTGGTGAATGTTTTCCGACTACTTTCGATGGGTATTCCACGATTTTAAGATGTTTTAATCGAGGCTCTTCTTTCCGTGTAATCGCGCTTCAACCTCGAGCAATTTGCGATTAGAAACGCGACTGTAAAACTGGTGAATGTTTTCCGACTACTTTCGATGGGTATTCCACGATTTTAAGATGTTTTAATGTAGTACGATTGTTGAAGAAGATTTATGGTGAAAATTGCACGACACGTTAATTTACATGATTTTAAGTAGAATTCCTTTCTTAAAAAGTGAATTGAATGTAAAAGAAATTAATTTCTACAGTTTTGAATTGTCGAAGAGAAAGAAGAATAGATTTTCACGTGATTTTTGGTCAAAATTGCAGGTCACATTAATTCATGTGATTTTAAATATCACTTGTTGCTCAAAAAGTCAACCAAATGTGGAAGAAATAAGAAGAAACGTGTGTCTAAGGTTCAAAATTGCTGATAAATTATAAATAAATAGAATAAATCTGTGCGCTATTATACTGAAACAACGGATGAATTTTTAACCACCTTCTTTACGTGAAATTCTAATTGAAAATAGAGTAATCGTCTGATAGAAAATTTGAAGAAAATTCTATAATTCGAAACTGTTGAAGAAAAACACATGCATCGATTAAAATTGCTAATAAGTAAAGAATACGCTAAATTTACCAAAAAATTTCTACTATAAAGCAAAGGAAAATCAAAATTTTCTTCGCTATTTTTAATAAAAATTCACCGTCGAAGGAAGCGAAGCAAGAAATTTTTCGTAAAATTCTTCATCGAAGTTTCGTCCAAATGGCAACAGCGAAGCTCTCACGACGAACAAGAAGCTCGAAAGCAAGTGTCAGTGTCAGGAAACCGGTTCCCAGGATCGTTGGATAACAAAACACCATTTTGCCTTGAATACTAGCGGAAGAGAATCGTTGAAGAATTGTTCATTGAGGTGTCCGAAAAATTGAGAACGGCGCCAGTGTGGACGGCTGACACTCCGAATCATAACCAGAAAAACCACCGTGCAAAGTAGCCGTTGATTGTCCACGCTGCTGGCAATTAGTGCGTGACGGATCCTGGCTTCCTCGCGATGGAAACTGGAAGCGCAGTTTCGTTCTTCGAAATCCTTCGAAACTGAATTCGAAGCTGGAATGGATGCTTCGAAAGCTCCAATGGTCAAGTTGAAGCACCTATAGCGAAGAAAATTACGCTGAAAATTGAGAAAAATTCCATTGAAATCGGGAAAACTCCGGAAATATTTTTAACTACAGATTAGACAAATTTCGAGAGATCTGCTTAACAATTATCGTATACACGGTATTACTAAATGGACTGAGAATGTGACTCAGAAAATTCGAACAGATTATCAAGAGCTTTCGTTAATATAAAGAGTTACATTTTAGAGTTCGAAAAATTTCTTAGAACAGAATAAACGCAGAATTTGTCAGAAAAGATTTAATTACGTTACCAGAAAAATCGAAGTGCAGTAGTTAGAATAAAATATCAGAAATAATACAATATTCCAATCGCAAATTTTACACAATTGCACTCCTGTTCGTAATTACTAGGACACTTACCGAACAGCAAGCAAACTTAAATAATCATTGAAACATTATTAAGATCGTAAAAAGAATTATTCTGTCCGAAATCTCATAGTATAACTACGACACTAACTTCAGCGACGAAATGCAAATTCAACCATTCGACTGTGGATGTTTATGCAGTTATAACACTTCCGCTAATACTCGATCAAACTAATCAAAACTAGCTCTTATCGAAGGCTTTCCGTTAATACCAGTATTAACTAGTTAATTCTAGACCTAACCAAAATGTGTTTAACAACTCTAACGATAGTTTCAGTTACAAAGATTTCCCTTATTTTCGCAGAGACGTCGTTTTCACAAGCACAATCTTTGTCCCAGTTATTTTTATCTCACAGCGGATATAATTAATCCTAGAATTAACTAGTCACAGCTGTAGCATTACCGAAAGAGCTTCGTATTGACCAGTAAGATCGTGCAATCTTTCCAGAAAGAAAACTCGATGAAATCAGCAGGGCACGATTATCGAACCTTCAAATCTTCCCCCACTACTGTCCACTAACCAGCGTGCTCCACGTTTCGAAAAACATCAGTCATCGTCGGAAACGCAACTCACGTGAAGATAAACCGACGAGAAAAAAGGAAGAAAAAAATGGACGAAGAGAGAAAGAAAAAAATAGAAAACAAGAGTATCGCTGCAGGAGATGAAGATCTGTGTCAATCTGCTCGCCGAATCCTCGCGCTGATCTCAGCTGACAATTATCATCGTGCAAAGAACGAAGAAATAGGAGGAGCGGAGGAAGAATGGTGGATGCGGGTCCGTTCTCCAGGTGACCAAGTGTGCGGAGAATGGACAGCGTGTTACAAGCACGTGGTAACGAGTGAGAAGCAAAATGGACCAGGTCCCCAGGAAGTGGGGACCTGGATTAAAAGCAAACGAGGGCAACGTCTCGGCGACAGAGCCATCTCAGACCTTGAAGAGTGGAGGACGACGTTACAAGCCGTGCTTCGTCGAGCTGACTTTTCTTTACTTCGTGGTTTTTCCTAACGGGTCCCTGGCCGCCCTTGGACGACAGAGCTGATCCTACAGTAGGTGGTTGGTGCAATCGAAAGTCGGCGCCAGGCCGAGGGAACCAGTCGGACAAGGATCTACCGAGACGGTCAGTGTCGCGATGTGTCTCGCTATTTGTTTCTTTTCCTCATTTCTTCCGTTTTCACGCTGTTCGAGAGGGGTACCGAGGGCGTTGTTCGGGGTTGAATTTGAGATTTGAGCGACGGAGATTTTCTTAAACAGTAGAGCAGTTTGTTCTTCACAGTTAATTCTTTTTTTTGGAAATGTTTTCCAACGCTTTTTTCAGGTTAAAATAGGTGTGATTTTGGTAGTAGGTGTTTTTTGAACTATAGAGTAGTTTGCTTCAGATGATTCGTTCTTTTTTCGGGAGTACTTTTCAACGGTTTCTCTTTTAGTAGTGGATATGTTTTAAACGGTAGAGTAATTTAATTTTTTGGGAGGAAATCCTTTCCGTGCTTTGTTGATTTTAGTAATGGATGTTTTTTGAATGATAGTTTGTTTTGGACGATTAATTCTCTTTCATGATTCTTTCTAATGCTTTTCCGAGGGTACAAAGTAGTATTTAATTAAGTGTTGAATTTGAATGATAGATGTTTCTCGAAAGTTACGGCAGTTCATTTTAAATAATTAATTCTTTCCCATAATCTTTTTATATTGCTTTTTTTAATTCCCTTACAAAAAAATCTCAATGCACTCTTTTTTTGAACATTCTGCACACCAAATCTTCAGACCACCCTATCCAACGAAATACGAGCAAGATTTTTCAAATTACTCTTAAAAAAAGAGAAAAAAAGACATGTAATATTGTACACCTAAAACCAACGCTAACAGAAGTATCCTAAAATATCCTTGAAGAATAACAAGCAAACCACTCAAAAAGCCACTCTTTCTGGAACGCTTACTACAATCACAAGAAAGAAAGAAAGCATTGTTCTCCTAGAAACAACCGAATTAGTAGGTGAAAAAAGGCACATCGAAAGTGCAAGCACGTGCAACTTTCCTCCTGTTCCCTTTCAGATGGCGGCAAGGGGAATAATCGTCCTGCTCCTAGCGACCTTGACCCTGAAAGATGGCCAGTGTAGCACTAGGTACTTCGTGAAGATGAGGACGAACGCCTCCGAGCTGTTCAAAACGAAGGGAGATCATTCGAGGGTACTTGTCGCGCCGATCGCGGCCACCCACAGTCCATTGTATGATGAAACAAAGGCTGCCTTTCAGGACGATGGCCAGAGGATGATCAAGGACTATCCGAGGAACGTGGACGAGCCTAAGAACGCGTTCGAGACCTCCACCTTCAATCCAGACGTGCTGAACAAATTTCTGGAAGAGTACGCCAGCAAAATTAAGAGCAGCACGGAGAAGTATCAGAGGTATCCGTTTAGGATCGTCAAACCTAACGAAGCTCTGGCACTCGAAGTGGACGAGCAGACTACTCAGGCCAGCAGCACGAATTACGAACAGGTTACGAAGTACGAAGAGGACACTAATAACTCGACTCAATCCACCGTGGATGGGGTAAGGTTTGATACTCAAGTATTTAATAAGAATTTTTTTTATCGAGAGATTTTAACGAGTGCTTTCGATAAATATGGTTTTATTATTTGGTTAATAATAAATAGTTTTGATTATATTTTTATTTTTTGTTATTTTCAATTATTTTACTGTTTTTAATCATTTTTTTCTTGGTATTCTAACCCTTTATCTTCACTTATTTTACTGTTTTCTATCATTTTTTTCTTCGTATTTTAACCCTTTGTCTGCTGGACACTCAAGTCTGAAAAGCTGAGTGCAGTTGAAGTATAGAATTAATATAATTAATTGCCTTTGGGTACTACAGCAAGATTTATATTCTATTTTTAAAATGAATAATATGTGAACATAAAATGTAAATATAAAAACGCTGATATTATTGTTTGATAAATTATCGTTGACCAACTATAGACACTGATAGCAGTGAAAGGGTTAATTATTAACTGAAGTAGACCAGTCGATTTTTGGTACTGTAATAGACACATTTCTTTCCATTTTTTTATTATTCTTCAATTAATGACTACAGATAACTAGCAATTGTTTGTACTAAATATTCAGTACTTGATTTCACTACTTTATTTACATTTGTTTAATTTTGATAAGATGTAACATTTTTTAAAACCGTGAATCATTAATACAATTAAACTTATAAAGTAATAGTGACATTTCACTCAAAGTACTGCTTATTTTTTTATTGCTTTATCATTACTTTGCTTTCAGTTAAGTGAAACTTCGAACGACACCCTGAAGAGGAACAAATACTATGGAGCAAATTCATACGAAGACAGGAATGGCTGGGTCACATTAGAGGCAATTCCATGGTCCAAGAGCAAAATTTCCAAGTGGCAGGCGACGCCAAGTACGCAACGACCATGGCCGGAAGTGAAACCTTGGGACAATAAGCCAGGCATAGGGAAACCTTGGGCCTCAGACTATTCCGTGAGGCCAATCTACGAGAACAATAAACCATGGTAAACACACTTCCAATTTTACACTTTCTCTTCTTTTCAATTGTGAACAGTCTAACTAGATTAAAGCCTAATCTCCAATTTTAAAATAGAATTTCCTTAGAAACTCTGCACCCAAGAATTTCAATTTGAACGTTCTTCGATAAAAATTAAATTCGTTTATCTACAATACCAATTCTTAATGCATTTTTGAAAGTGAAAAATGTGCATTCTTTTTTTAGTTATAAATACACCTCTAATTTTGCAGTTTCTCTTCTTTTGAATTGCGAATAGTCTAACTAAAAATTAAAGCTTAATCTAAAATTTTTAAATAAAATTTCCTGAGAAACTCTGCTCACAACAATCTAATTAAAGAACTTTCTTCGATAAAAATTAAATTCATCCTATTCCAGGATTAAATAAAATCCTAATTACAAGCAAAGTTTCCACTTTGATGAAATAATTTTTATTCTCATGTCAGGTATGAGAAGCCAAAGCCAACTTGGCCAGAAACCAGCAACGAAAAGCCTTGGCAAAAGCCAACAACACGGCCCTCCTTTTATTCAGAGAAGCCTGAGGAATCTCAGGCTCAAAAATGGCCTCCAGAGAGGCCATCTTGGAACAAGTACTCAGATCGACCCAATAGCGACATAATCACAGACAATCGTCCAGCTAATTTTCCAAATAACTGGAACAGACCTCAGCCAACGAAACCAAGCTATCAGTTCCTGGACAAGTACCCTGAGAAAAATCAAGCCGAAGAAAATAACGATTGGCATGATTTTCCAACGAGATTCGACGATCGTTTACGACCTTCTACCGAGAGGCCAGGATTTTCACAATACCAGTACGTGAACAATCATCCTCAGAGCTATCCTGGAAACGGAGATGGTCAGTGGGTACTATTATCTACGAATAGAGGATACTCGAAGTCCAGACAGAGATCTATGAAGACAGAGCCAGTAGAGAACGCTACAAAAAGTGTGGCTGTACGTGGGGAAGAGCCTGATCCAGCGATCGCTGTGATGACGTCCAAGAGACAGGTTAGGCTAGATGATCAAAGAAGTTGTTAGTGTATTTTTAGAAAATTTTTCAACAACCTTTCTTCTTTGGAATTCTCATTTTTCGCGTATTTTTAGAAACTCTCTCAGAATTAACAAATTCGTAGGAAGGAATATTTTGAAATTTGTAGAATTTTTTAATAACACGTACGTGTGTTTAGAAACATTTCAAGTAGGATTGACGAGGATGTGAAGGAATTTCTAACGACTCCTAGTATACCTTTTACAACTTTTTAAATATATTTTTAGAACGAATTCGTAGAAAGGAATGTATTGAATTAGAAGAATTTTTTAAAAACACATATCTCTAGTTTTTTATTATAAAGTTATATAATTGAAGTCACATGACAATCTCACTTTTGCACTATGCTTCTCGTCTCGTAACACGTTTGTTAAAAAGCCAGGCTTATACAATTGAAAGGACGATGATTACACGGATCATCTGTTTGTCACCAACTGAGTAATCCTTTAAATTCAAACGCTGTACACGAAAGCTTGTTCCATTAACCAACAAAGAAAAGACTGATCCTATTAATTAAAACGAGAAAATACTTTTAAATGTATCGAAAGGAATTATCTTGCAAAACAATTGTTCCAAGTATAGTATTGGCAGTCGCTTGATGAAATATCGTTTACCTAGGTCAGGTTGACGGTGTTACCGTCGATAAACGGCACGAATACGACGACGTCGCATGGAGGACTCTTAGAAGTGGAGAAGACATTCAAAAGCGTGGATCAGAGTCGAAAAGAGTACGAAATGGAGAAGCATACACTACCTACGATCCTGAAAAAGAGACCAATCAGAAACACATTGGGAAATCAGGCATCTAGCTCTGCTGTCCTGGCTGCTGTTGGTGCAGGTCAGTAATTTATTCTTTACTCGTTCGTTTAATTATTTCTCGGAGTAGAAATTGAAATATTGTACTTGTAGGAAGTAGAATTGATATAGAAATGTGTTTAGAATTTATTACTTCTTTTTCCTTTATTAACTGCTTAAGTACGACATATCAAATTATGACATTTAGCACTGACACATCAGTTTAGCACATCAGTGTATCACAATGTTGTTTACTAGAATTTTTTACTTGAAATACCAAATGGAGTAGGATATTTTCAAAGACGTCAAAGAGGTTGTTGAAGACAACTCAGATGATTTGTTTTTAGTTTAGAATTTAGAATTTTTTTCTACATTGTTGACACATAAAGTTTCGAACTTTTCAATGGAAATTAAAAGAGCGTTCAAAATTGAGTATATAAATATTAAGACATAATAGGTCTAAAGTGTGAATTCACTCTAACAGTGAAAAAGTAAATTAACTGTAAGTGGATTACGTTCTTTTGTCAGAGATTTTTTCTCAGTATCTGAGGTTAATTTTGTAACATAAATTGTGGAAGAATTAATTTGCTGTGCAATTTAATTAGGAAAAAAATTAACTAACAAACTAATAACTATGGAGATGGAAAAGTGACGTTAAAAATTCAGGAAGCGAGTGATTTTGGAGTAAATCTACTGCTCCACAGGAATATTACCGGCAACAATGGCGATGATGATACCCATGATTCTTGGCCGTCGCAAGAGGGACTTGATGGCTTCCGGTTTGAGACTGCTCGATCACCGCGATGATTCAGTAACGAATATTCACCGTCTCGCGATAGAAAGTCGAGCTCGTGGAAGAAGGCAAAGATAGAGAAACTAATCTCTGATCATTTGGAGAAATGAAAAAAGAAAGGATAGAGAGAATTTAGAAAAAGAACGAAGAGGCTTCTGACAAGAAAAAAAAAAACAAATTATCACAAATTAACAAGCTAGAATTTCAAAAAGAAGCTAATGGTGTACAGGATATTTTAACAGAGTTTTAAGTACCTACTTTAAGTGTTTCTACTTCTTTTTTTTTTATTCATAGTCCATAATTTACGATTTGTATATCTAATAATTAGCTGTAATTTTTCATCGATAGAGGAACGTGTTGTTCCATAAAGAGAAGATAGATGATGTTTCATAAATTTCATTATATACACAGGATACGCAATGTAGACATGCATCTTATTTATTATTTATTTATTTATTTATACGTTTATTTATACATAATATACTTTACATTTTTCGTCGTTCGCTTAAATACTTAACGAAAAGCATAAGTACCAACGAAAGATATGATCGAAGAGCGTAATAAGTCGTGTCGAAAATAAAAAATAGAAAAATAGAACTTTTCGCCGGAAATTTTTCAAAACCTTTCACCTTCTCTCGTTTCTCCCTCTTGAGCGTTTCTGAGGTTTCGAAAAATCATTCTCAGAACGCGTTTGTCTTTTTATCAAAAGTGCATTCCATGCGAGAAATCCTATTCCTCGACAGATTTATCTTTAAAGCTTGTCGTTCGCATTCCTCTTCAGAAACAATCCTTCCTTCAACCTTGGCCCAAATTCTGTTAACGATTTATGCAAAACTATGGGTTAATAAATAGAAAATCCGAAATGTCAAAATCAACTTGCAGGGATTAACAATTGCAGAAAATAAAAATTATGAAGATGTATATATGTAGTTTGAAAATAAAATGGAGAAAAAAAATACTTTTCTACTGTACGAGGGTATTATGCTAACAAAAGTGGGGCGAGTCTTCCGGCCGAAGCAGCTAAAATATCTTCATCATTTTGAAGTTGAAAAGAAGAAGCATTTGTTTCTAAAGATTTTAGAATTTTCGAAACAAGAGATATTACATCTTTTTATGCTTCTCCACAAATTATAGCCTAATTTTATAGAAACACCAAAGAAATAAAACCAATTTTAAAAATATCTCGCTTCCATCCTCTAGAATGAAATATTTCTTCCCCCCAAAGAAATGACAGAAACTTTCACTCTCCAAAAACAAACATCTCTTCCCCCACGAAAAAATATTTCAAAATCACACCCAACGAAATGGAAAAGATATTTCAAGCTCCGCCGTAAAATCAACCGTTCCGATAGATGGCCCTGAAACAGACGAAATCTCTGTAAAATCCCGAAAATCCTCGAAGACCGTCATAACGCAAAGGAATTTCCGTTTTCGAAACGCGGCACCCTCGAGGAGAATAATCACTCGAGTCCATTGTGTGCTCAGCCTCTCTCGAGGCCTCCCCTCACTCCTCCCCGTTGATCCTCTTCTGCACGTGGCCAAGGTATCTGGCGAAACCTTCGCTGGCGTGTTTAAGTAGCGTCAGACCGAGCCTGAACTTGATCTCGGCGATCTTCTTCACGAAACTGAAGAGATTGAAACCATTCTGCTCGGTTGGTTTCTTCGTGGTCAGATCGATCCATTCTACTGAGCTCTGCTCGGTTGTCTTCGAACTGGTTGTCGTGTTTCCTTCAGGATCTTCTTCGGTCGAACCTGAAGAGGAAGGCGAAGACTCTATGGTCTCCTTCGTTGTTGAGGAAACCGTAGAGGTGTCTGCACTGCTAGCCGTACTTGTCTCCAACGTGTGACCTTTCATAGTGGATTCCTTTAATCTGGTCTTTTCTTCTTCTTTTTCTTTTCTTCTTTTAACTTCGAACTCCTCTTCGTGGTTACCCCTGATCTTTTTCTTATTCACGTTATCGTAGCCTTCTTCGGGTATAGCAGAGTCAATAATATTCAGGATTTCGTTACTTAGGTCCTCCTCCTTTTCTTCCTCTTCCAGTTCTCTTTTAGAAGGAATGACTTGGATCACAGAGTCCCTCTTTCTTCTGGAGTGATGTGTATTTGCTGTAAGAAGCTCTACCAGGCCTGGAGAGGATCTTTTAGTCTTCAGAGATCTTGGTCCGTGCTCCACAGCAACTGCTGTTGGCGTAATCTCCACTTCTTCATAAGTCTCTTCAGGTCTGGCTGTTTGAACTTGACCATAGTTCTGAACAGATCCCACTGGGAAGTTGAAATTTTGATTTATGTCATGATCGAACTGTATCTGAGCACTCTCTGTGGGCTCATATCCGTTTGCTAAGTTTCCTGAAGTAGACACAGCTGGAAGCTTCTCCTGATAAGGTGGATAGTCCTTAGGGACACTTCCAACAACGAATTGCCTGTTAGCTGAGCCAGGAACTGCTTGTCCAACAACATACTCAGAGTGCTTAGGCCTGTCATAGTAATTAGGAGTGCTTGAAGTATCAGAATATCTGTAATCAGTGTTCCTATACTTCAACACAGACGCTGTGTTTTCTGGTCTGTACATTGGAGAGGATGAAGGGTACCTCTGATCATTTTTCTTGGTAGTCTGAGGTTCATAAGCCCCGTCATAATGCTGGTACTTATAGTAATTGTTGTCGTAGTCCTTTGAACCAGGATACTTGTTCTCGTCAATGGTCATACCTTGAAGAACTTTCGAGAGAACCTCCTCTTCACTCTGACCATAGTTTCCTCCATATTCGTCGAAATTATACTTGTACTTAGGCTCAACCTCGTAGTTTCTTCTTGTCACAGTTCCTCCAAATGGATAGAGGAAATAAGAAGCCAAACCTAGACCTAAACCTACCAGAGACATCACTCCAAAGCTAGGCATCACTTCTCGACTGAGAAAATTGTATATCTGCATACTGATTGGAGTATTAGCTGGCTTCTTCTTAGTTTTAGTCCAATTAGTAGCCACTTTGGTCTCAGGTACTATTTTTGACTCTTGTATTCCATTCTCAGCCATTGCTTCATCTGCCAATAAGTCATTTTCTGTGGGAGCGGGCGTTGTTGGTGAAATTGTCGTTGTGCTGGTAGAAATGGCCGGTTTTCTTCTTCTTCCCTTGTTCTTCTTCCTCTTGGAATTGTGTCTGGGTCTCTTGGTGGTTGAAGTAGTCGTTGAAGCTTGTGTTGTACTAGTAGAAGAAGACTCTGTGTCTACGTTAATTTTTGTTAATTCAGGATTGAAGTCAAACTTCATTAAGTCTATCCTAGTATTATCAAGAGTCTCTGCTTCCTTTTCAGCTTCAACTTTCTTCGTTTCCTCCTTCTCTACTTTCTCAGCCTTCAATACAGGTGCGTGCACTTTGATTTGGTCTACTTCAATCTTGGTTGTATCTTCTATGGGCTTCTTTAGCTGCACCTTGAGGACATTGTTCACTTTTGTTCCAATTGGTTTAGGCTTAACAGACACCTCTGTAACTTCGTTACTAATTGTGGCAGGTTTCGAAATTGTCGTGGGTTCCAAACTGCTCGTAGAAGATACAGAAGTCTGTGTAGTTGCCTTCTGAGTGTCCATTAAAATCGAAGCTTTAATCTTCGTGACAAACATAGGCTTCTCAGTGCTTTCTATTTTGTTCTTCGGTATCGTGATCATTTGAACAGGTCTGAAAGTGACTTTCTCTATCTTAGCAGTAGATATATTCTCATGCTTGACTATATCAGGCTTAACCGTAGTCCTTCTGACAGGAGATTTCAGTCTGTTCTGCTGATTAGGCCTGGAAGTCTTTGATAACGATGGCTTGTTCAGCACAGTAGTCTTCATGGTAGCTATCTTAGGTTTAGGAGTTGTTCGAACAACCTGAATCTTCTTGATAGTACTTGCAGTGACTTCTCTACTCTCCAAATTACTCGTAGTAGTCTGTGAAGCTTTCAGAGTGGTATTCTGAGGAGCATCAACCTTCTCTGTGCTCTGTGTCTTCTCTGGCTTAAATTCTGTGGTCTTCTTCGTGGTCACGAAGACAGTCTTCTTCGACGTAGAAGGCTCATCCGTGACTAGAGTCGTAGAAACTGGTATGGTTGCTTTTTCTATCACTCTTTCAGTAGTTTCAATTCTCTCCATCAAGGTCGTTGGCTTCACAGTCATCTTCACTTCAGCTTCTACAGGTAATTTCGTCTTCTTCTCATTTTCCAGAGTCTTCACAGTGGTTGACGGCGGATTCAGAAGGATCCACGTGGAAATTCCTCCAGTGGTTGTTGGATGATTCTTATAAGCAGTCATCAGACGAGTCGAGCTCATCTCTCTTTCTAGTTCCTCTTCGGTAATGGCCATTGCTTGGCCTGGATGACTCGCCTCGAAGTAGCTGAATTTCGAGTTAACTGGTCTGCCAAACCCGGTGCCGACTGAGTGGCCATTATTAGCAGCCGTCTCCTTGATCGGAGTTGCCTCATTTCGTTCGATTGGCTTCTGGTTCACGTTGGACTTCTTGATCACGTTGTCGAGTATCTTAGACGGCTCTTCAGGGTTGCTCACGTTCAACAGCTGAGTGGCCACTGTCCTTAACGATTGATCGATGTGCTGCAGGTCCTTCAAATGGCGTTGCGTCTCGTTTGGCTGAGCGCTGAAACGAAATTGCCGGGTTACGTTAGTTTCCAGTCGTGTGAGTCTGGTGCAATGTGGGTTTTAAATGAATTGGATTAGAAGTTGGAGCAGAGTGAGCAATTTATGGCTGTTCCTTACCTTTGTATGTCTGTCAAGCATTGGAAAATTGATTAATTTAGTAAATTGTCAATTTTGTTTACTTGGAACAAAATCTTTTTCAATTATATTTTTAATTGAATTGAACGGGATCTTTTTTTTTCTTAGGATGATTAGGAGTAGAGGAGAAACTACGTTCTACCATTGATAGAAATGATATATTGAAATGGAAAGAAAACTGCAAATTTATCCGTTCGAATGGTTTATTTTAGTTACAATTCACTGGCACAAACGCTAGGTTTGTCAAACAATGCCCTAGGTTGTCTAGAAGAAGTATGTCATACTACATCTGTATAAGTACATCCGTAATACTGTTCTGTGTGTCAATACGCTATCGTCGTAATCGTTGATACTTACTTATTAGTATATTTTAAAACTACCATTGGCGAGGTTAATTTTTCTATTTTCTATAGGCTACGTACTAAAACCCTTGCCCTTCAAATGATTCGTAAATAAAATTCTCCCTAGACGTCCTAAAGTATTAAATATTAAATTATTCTGTTTAAAAAATTAACAAACTCACGTACAAGTTGATTCAATAATTCATTCGCAATTATTGAGTCATCCTGTACATACTATCATACTATATTCACAACCACGTGACTTTATCACTGGTATGTCTGGCTCCTACCTAAATTTCCCAAACTCTTCCACCTGTACCGATCCACGAATCCCCAGACCATCGAAAAATTTTCCAAAATCCAACCTTCACATTGTCAAAAAGAGATACAAGAACCTAAACCTGAAGATCTACGATCTTTCATCTCTTCCTCTTCTTCCTCTTGCTTTTCCATTCGTTCACCCTGCCATATTTCTCCATAGATTGTCTCACTACTTCTTCAAGGTTGCTCCAGAAGTTGTCTGAGCCGCCATTGTTGGCTCTACTGAAGCCGAACGAACTAGGGAATAACCAGGGGTAAATGAAAGTCACTATACCTAACAATCCAGCTGCCAGAGCAGTGAAAGGGGCAGCTGCCAGGCTGAAGAAGCCATAATGCAAAGGATTCACGAATGTGAAGTAGGTGAACACTGAACTTATAGAATCCATAATGCCACTTGGTGACAAATCAAAGTCGTCGTCGTCGTCGTCGTCGACTGGACGACTTGGAGGAGTGGATCCAGCAACCAGATCACTTGGAGAAGAAGAGGAATCCCCTGAAGAGCCGGAAACAGGTGAAGCTGGCCCATTAGCTGGCCTATCCAACGAATTCGTACCTGAAGAATCACTTGACTGGCCAGTTTCTGAGGCACTTAATCCTGAAGTGCCTGAGCCATCTTCTGAGGAAGCGACATCTTCAACTCCTGACAAAGGAGCCTCTACAGGAGGAGTTGCTTCAGCTCCTGAACTTGAAATACTAATCTGAGTGTCCTGGATTACTTGTACGTTTGAAACGTCGCTTTGCTGCAGAGCTTCAGTCTGAGGATCTTTTTGAGGATCGTAATAGCCATTCTGAGGCCACTGTGAGGACCCTGAAGAAGGTAGTTGATAGATAGGTAGAGATTGATAATTGGAACCTGAGTCTATCTGGCCACCAGAGACATATTTGTCTACTTCTTCATATGTCTGATAATTTTGAGAATCAGCCTGGTCAATTGCTGGAGATGGAGTGGATTTCAAAATGTTGGTGTTGAACACATGGGAATTAATGATGATGTTCAAGTCTGTGCAACCTTGTTTGCTCTGAATGGTGTTATTAATCCTCGTATAGGAGTTTATTAAAATGGTAGGACAACTCTGATCATAAGTGACCACAGGTGTCTGAGGCACCTGTTCATCAGGAACTTTGTTGTTCTCCTCATAAGAAGTGAAGCCTATGTGAAGATTAGGACCTGGTTTAGACGTTGTCGAAGAAGAAGAAGAAGGGAACAAATGTTGAAGAAGCAACGAAGGAGGATAGGCACCAGGTCCTGAAGAGGTAAAAGAAGATGAAGGACCTGAAGAAGACCCTAAAGGAGCAGAGATAATTGGTCTGATAAGACCTGGAGGTAACTTTGAGCCAACAATCGTTCTGTTAGGCTTCTTTAGGTCTGCATTTATCAAATGAACTACAGTATTCTGGGAAACCTGTGTCTGAGGGTTGTACACTTGAAGATTCTGAGTCTTGTTCCTCTGAGGAACGTGTCCCAACCAGTTTGGAACTTTTTCTGTTGTATAACTTGAAGAATGAAGAGGATAAATGAATCCAGGCTTTAGACCTTGAAGATTGCTTGGCTTAAGTGGTCGGTTTGGTTCGAGATTTTGATAAACTGGATCAAAAGCCACACTGATGGGGCCACTAACATGATCACTCTCTACAATATGGCTGCCATTGGTCATGAAAGCAGGAATCTTCAACCAGTGAATTATTTCCTGAAGACTGGGACTAGAAATAGGTACGTGATAATTGAAGGTGGAGTTTTTGAATGGAACTGGCTTCTGAATAGCCCCTTCAGGCTTCAGATCCTCTATAGAAGTATATTTATCATAATTCTGGAAATCTTCAGCATTTTGAATGGCTCCGTTGGGCCAGTTCTTCAGGTTCATATCTGGTTTGGAAGAATTGTTTTTATTTGCCTGAATTTTACTCAAATTCACCTTATTTTGATTCTTTTTGTTCGAGTTTGTTTGAGAACCTTGAGGACGACGAATTTTGGTCCTGTTAGGGTTCTTCGAGCTCGAATGACTATTAGAGTGACTCTTTTGAGGAGAAATCGATACAATGCCATGGTCCATGCTATTTTTATTTTCTAGAGACAATTCAGAGGCAATTTGCTCGTGACTTAGCATACCAGTGATCTTCTTGACGGCCGCGACGTGATCGAACGGAGTCGTGGACTCGACCTTCGCGGGATCATTCTCGAAACTCAACGAAAAATCCTCCTTCTGATCCGAAAATTTCGAATTCTGAGTCAAGGTCGACCGTGAATTATTCATTAAAATCCAGCTCGTCCTTCTGGACGCGTTGTCGCTTGAATAATCTTCCAAAGGAGTATTTTTCGTGGAATTGATTTCACTCGTTGGCCTCTTCAAGTATGAAATTCTCGAATTCAAAAGTGGAACACGCGTGTAACTAGAATGAAATTTCTGATCTGATTTTTTCGAAGAAGAGTTCGTCAAATTTCTATCTTTAAACGTTGGAATTATAGAATGACTACGAAACACGTTTCTAAACCTAGTTATGTTTGGACGTTTTTGAAATTTCTCTGAATTGTCGTTGAAATTATTTGAAATTTGTGAGCTGGTATTTTCTATCGTTTTTTCGATTAATTTGACTGAATTTTTTGATTCAGATCTCGAAGAGTCTGTTGGTCTTTTCGGTTTCGTGACACTTACCTCGTCGAGACGTTCGACAAAAGGATCGATACTACCGCGGTAATAGTTAGTGTACGGTATACTACTACTTCCGGAATTCCACGTGTACCTGCTATCTTCTCGAACGCTATGCACGCCGCTCGACGTTCTCCATTGCCCGGGGTTCGCTTTCGATGGCTGTGCTTGTGTCGATTCTTCTGAAAATTCAATAGAATTAATTTTAAAATATCGTCAAATAAATAATTCTTGCTAATATGTATTTTAAAATATGCAAAATTGAAATGTGCATATTTAAAAAGTTACAAAATAGTAATCATTAGAGTGAGTCATAAATTCTGGTCCAAAATCTACAATTTAACAATTTGTAAAAATTCATTTACTTTTTCTAATTAAATAATTGTTAATTCATTTTTTTCCGACAATTCAAGAAAATTTAATTCGAAATATCGCCAAACAAATAA